GTTGCCAGCAGGTCAAAGGAGGTAATTCTCCCCCTCTGCTCAGCCCTGGTGAGGCCTCACCTGGAGTACTATGTCCAATTCTGGGCTCCCCAATACAAAAGAGACACTGAAGCAAGTCCAGCGAAGGGCTACAAAGATGGTTAAGGTTATGGAGTATCTCTAACATAAGGAAAGGCTGAGAGAGCTGGGCCAGTTTAGCCTGGAGAAGAGAAGACTGAGGGCGGGGGGATCTGATCAATGTGTGTAAGTATCTGAAGGGAAGGGAAGGTGTAAAGAGGATGGGCACTTCTCAGCAGTGCTCAACGATAGGACGAGAGGCAACAGGCACAAACCAAAACACAGGAAGTTCTGTCTGAACGCGTGGAAAAACTTCTTTCCTGTGAGGGTGACTGAGCACTAGAACAGGTTGCCCAGAGAGGTTGTAGAGTCTCCTTCCCCGGAGATATTCAAAAGCTGTCTGGACACAATCCTGGGCAATGTGCTCTAGATGACCCTGCTTGAGCAGGGGGTTGGACTAGATGATCTCCAGAGGTCCCCTCCAACCTCAACCATTCTGTGCAACTCTGTGGTACAGAGCTGACCTACAGAAATTAGTAAAAACTTTCATCTCGATTCAGCTGGAACAGGTTGGATTCTAAACAAGCAGACAATATCTGCGCAGCAGTAACTTATAAGGTTATTCGAGAAATACCATCTCTAATCTGTTATTTCACAGGCAAGGCATAATTGATAAAAAAAATGTCCAGAAAAAAACCTTACTCTGCTATGTATGGAACATACAAGGTAGAGGAACTCTCTCAGTAGCATCAAACGAGGGTGCCAATTGGCCAACAAAATTAAGTGTCAGCTATGCATCCCTCTAATGCGTTTCCTCATAAGGAATTGCCCAAAAAATTTCAAAGAAAGACTCATAAATCTATTCATGTACCAAATAAAAATATGTAGAATGAAGGGTGAAAACTTACTGCAATCCAGGGGAGTGTTTCATAATGAGACTCTAACTAACCAAAACCAAGGATGTTAAAACCTAGGAATACGTGCTTGCTCCCATTGAAGTTAATAGCCAATTTCCATTGATAATAATATAGAATAACCATTAAACTACAGTGTTAGAGATCTTACAGTATTGCTGTTATATTTTTTGGCACAATTCTACTTGGAATGCAGTAGTGCGATATGAAAAGGGTGATTTGTTTGCAAACTTGGAATGAAATCTGATTTAGACTAGATTGCATAATAAAGGAGCCAGCAAAAGAGACACCATTCTGGTGGGGTGGGGGGAACACTTAGTTTATCAAAACTTGAAGATTTTAAGCACTTTGTTATTTAAAATTAAAAGTAAAAGGAAGAGAGCAGAAGTGTTAAACTGTGCCAGATTACTAAATAGCCATTTAGTACAAGAATGTTTTAAATGTGCAGCTCAAAAGCTGCACCTACATTCCATTTAGAATCTAACTTCCAGTTTTCATGAAATAAAACAAACAACAAAATTACTACAAATGATAAACAGAAACGAAGATCTGGAACCTTTAGTTAAGGAACATTAACTGCTTCTTCAAAGTGGTTCAAAGCTACTAGGTTCAATACCCTCCAAATACTTCAGAATTAAAAAGAAGTTTCACTGGCTATGAAATATAAAAACTACTAATCCTTTATATTAGCATGTAAAATCTCAAACCATGTGATTAATCCTATATTTCGTCTTCTTCCAGAGCTACTACTGAATTAACTGCAAGTTTTCAATCCCTATTCAGCACAGTACTTAAACATGTTCTCAACTTTATGCACAAAGGACTACCTAAACCCTTATCTAAATTTTACTTCAATGGAACTTAAGCATATAGGTTTATGATAGAGCAAGCACTCCAATGTTTTACTCAGCTGGGGACTTGACTTCCACAGTTGGGATGGACTCCCTTTGACTTCTGCTGTTCTCATAACAAGTGCTAAATCACATCAGCGTTTTATCACATCAGGGTTGCGTGCCTTGAGGAAAACAGGGATAACATAGTTCTTTGGAGAGTAAGAGCTATAATTTTGCCAGAATGGCATACGTGGAAAGAAAAGTGGAAAACAGAAGGAAGCATAACATGAATCAAATCCTACTATTATAAAATCAGATTATTAGAATATTTTCACATTTATCAGTGTAAGCATACATACAAAAGATCAAGAGTATGAAAATGAAGTTTGGATAATATATTTGTGCTAAATTCAGCCAAATAATAATGCTAGCAAATATTTATATTCACAGCTAACTTTGTGGTATGAGAGTTTATATACTACATATGAAATCTACATATGCAACACTGGGATTTGAAATATCTGTTAGTCTAATGAAGTAGTATGGACGTTACTGTTTTGCTCACCATCCTTTAGCAATATGTCTTAGTCATGACTTGGCAACTCAGTGATCATGAAGTCTTTGATCTCTTTCCTGACCCATCAAATATCAATGCAAAGTGTGAGGCTACTATGATGAAGTGGATGTTCTTTCATATAGAACCGAGAAGAAGCCATCATCTCAGTCTCTGAAGACTTTTGGTTGTCATTGATCAAAGACAGGGCAACTGCAATGACTTAAGAGTTAGGAGGATCTAACTAACTCTTAACTCGCGTGCTATTAATTCCTTGGGCCAGTTAACCCACTGCGGTTTCTTTATTCCCTAACAGTGTCATAAAACTGAGTCAGTGCTGGTCAAAAAGGGAATACTTTCTCCTACTAATCAGTGATATCATTTCCAAAGGAGAAGGAAGCAGATACTAGCAGTTCTCTATAAAATAGAAAATAGAACCTTTACCCTAATAAAGAGAATCTTCTCTCCAACTCTGTATCTTCCTTGTGAAAGGCGCTCCACACAGAATTTGTTAGGGCATTTACAAGGTGGATCTTCAGAAATGTGCTTAACCTGAAAAATCAAGAAAATTGTTATAGAAACTAAGGTAACATATCCATAGCCAAACATTCAAGAAGATACTTGCCCATAATGCGATATTGCTAAATCTTCATTTTTGATACTTCCTAAAATTTGTCCTTAATTTTTCTTTCAACTTTAATAGTTTTAATAGTTTGGCACTGAATGATTTTTTTGGGCGACAGTATTCAGTATACCACTGCTTCGAAGGGAAAATTGTAGACCCTTCACTCAGGCCAAAATTCTACTGAATTTCATGAGAGTTTTACATGAACTATGAATGAAGAAAACCTGAATGAGGACTCAAGATTTGGCTCATCTTGCATAGATCTGAATGCCACGGTTATATATTAAATGGTCTTCAGAGGATAAAAAGGGTTCTTTACTTCTTTGGAAACTTTGGGGAAGGAAAAAATCTAGCAATGGTTCACTGTCTTTTCAGATTATTCACTGGCCAAGCAGATCTAGTGCAACCTCAGAACACATACACAGTCCTACAGATCACTATACAAGGGAACTTTTGCATTAGCACCCTTTACTTCTCAGCAAGGTCAGTACAAATTGCTTGAGCAAACCCTTCAAGATTTGGATCAAATTTAGCCAGACTCAACAACTGGCCATACTTGAACTATAAGCTATATAAATTCAATTAAAGAAAATGCTAACATTAAATACGCTTGTATGCTCAGTTCCTTAAGGCTAAATATATTAAAATGGAACAAGTATGCTAGTGTTTTAAACTATTTCTGCAGTGCCAGACTGGGGGGCTTCCAATGTCAAAAAGGAGTTCCCAGCTGTGAAGAGACAAAACAGAGACGAGCGTCACAGTTCAACCTGAAATTCGCCCTGTTCAACAGAGAAAAGTAGCCTGACAATAGTTTGGCAATCCGAGTTCAGTGTCAATCTTTTGTAGGTGTGTACTCAGTATTTTATGAAAAAAACAGCTGAAGTGACAGAGTTGCTATGTATGGCTGACAGACAAAATGAAAGTGTCACAACAATGTACTCTCCCTTCTAAATAAATACAGTAGATACAGAAGTAATTCTGCTTATTGGTAAAAGGCCATGTCCAGTAACTTCGCTTTACTCTTTCAAATAGTGTACTTGCACCTTAATAAAAGTAAACAAAGAATACTGTGACACGATCAGAAATCATGGCCCAAGTTAACCTCACCGTCATTCAGAAGGGTTGTAAGGAGAAAGATGCAATTAAAAATTCATGCCCATGTGCCTAGTCTCTGCCAGTCAACTCCATGCCAAGATACTCCCCAGTACTGCTGCTACCCTTTGATGATCTCCAGCTTAGGGAACTAGTGCAATCAAACATAACTTAAAGGAGGCTCAAGAGTACTCTACTCTTTCAATGACAAACCTGACTACAGCACCCCACCAATAAGGGCTCAGAAGAGACAGATGAAAGCTACTTTTTTCAGCTACATCAGGTTGACTGCAGCCTCTTGTGAAAATTCAGACTTTCTGGCACTACCAAAGGCATTAATGTTTAGTAACAGTATATTCTGAACTTTTAGGTGATCTGGAAGAAACACAGCCATCAATGCCAAAGAGCAGATCTGGTTGAGCAAATTCTTATTTGACATTCAATTTGCATTTCTGTTAAGGAACAACAATGACAAATATAATATTTTCATATACTTCACTTTACTTCAGTGGAAACTGACCTAGTATGGTGGTGACAAACAACATAAAAAGCTGAAAGAACTTCCCAAAGATTTTGTCCACCTCAGGTAATATTCCAAAGACCTTTTCAGATACCGTTTGTAAACTAAAGCCCTGTAAAAAAAATAGACTGAGGACTGAGAAAGAATATTCTCAGAACAGCTAACATGAAAGTCTTAAACTGTTTTAGGGAAGAAAAAAGAAAAACAGGGCAAAGCTATGGGATTCTGATACATATTTTGCCTATCTTGAGTGAATACTCAAGAATACAAATCAGAAGCAGGAAAGGTTTCTAAAGTACAAAGAATAAAGCTTTCCATTAACAGCAGATCTGAAAATCAATGTATTAAATAAAGTGGAAAGTTGTTAAAAAATTAACCAAAATTACTCTTTCTATACAACACATGGAGGGCAAAGATGCTTTTGAAACTAGCCTTCTTAATTGATTTGAAGGCTTTCAAATTATTTCTGAAAGGATTCAGTGTTGTTATCTAAATAACTTTATTACCTTGTGGACTAACTAACCAATAATAACTAATAAGGCAGGATATCTTTGTGAAAAATATTTCATTTTAAACTAAGCCGAGGGACTGTGAAGGTTTTTGACATATAAAAATGATTCTCAAGTATCAGATGAATTTTCCTCAATTTGGATGTACTGAATAATTTTAAGATGAATTATTCCAGTAATTCCTATGAAGAAATAGGTGAGAGTTAGGCTCAGTTTCTGGAGAATCAAACTGTTTAAACAGTCATTGTACAATAGAAATAGCTTCAATGAAAGCAGCAGATGATGACTTAAATCCAGTATAGGTTGCTGAGGGTGCAAAAGGTGCATTCCTATGTTTCTTCAAATACAGTACAAAGTCCTCTAAAAGCAAACTCCACCTATCTGGCAATAGCCCTCTGAGCGTTCCCTGATAATCAGGGATTTATGACATTATATGCTATGGTAGTTATCGCTTCTGGAGACACTCCTGAAATTTGAAGCCAAGAGATGAGCAGTGTGAAAAATGCCTTAGTAACTCTATCTACAAGGGTTCATCTAAGCGTGCAAAAACCCAGAGTAGCTGGACCTAACTGGTTCAAGGTTGTTTTGCACTGTGTGAGCAAAATAGAGCCCTTTCAGTGCTGTGGAGGATGAAAGCCAACAGATTTATAATGGTGTAAAACAGAGGATAACGACACCTTCACTGCTGATCTGCTGTTGAGGCTTCCATTACCTTACTATCCCAAAGGACACAGAAGTATTATTGAGTGGAATTTGGAAATCAAATAAGGAAGCAGAGTGAAGAACTATATCCTATTTTATTTCGTGTCTGGACTATACGAGCACTGCTGCTATTTTATGTTGCAAGTGTCTGGGGCAGTGAGGGTCAGGAATCTAGCTGGATGAATTCCATTCTGTTTTTATTCCTACTGCTTTCTAAATTAAAAGAGGTGGTTGGAGACAACCTTCATCCTCTCTGCTCCTTTCCTGCAAGGTACACAATCATATCCCTCCTTCTACACATAGCCTTTCTCTCTCTGTTCTCCTAAAGCATAAGTGAGGCTTCTGGAAAGTTGAGGAAAAAATATAAAGTGTAAGAAAAGTTAAATGTAATTATTTGCATCAAATAATACAAAGTATTTCAATAAAATGACCAAACATTATATTCCATCTGCTCATTGTAACAAAAAGAGTGGCACATGGACTTTTCAAGAAGTGCTTTGTAACTCCCAGGTGGCACATCTACCATGTAATATAGCAGTTACTATAGTAACTGCTTCTTTTTATAGAATATATTTGTACTTTTCAAGTTTAACCTCTTCGTGGTCTCAAAATGTGTCCTTTTCCTCTGAATCCAGCTGTTTCAAATGAACTCCTCTAGGGTTTACAACAGAAATGAGCACTACAGTATAGTGCAAAGAGCTTAACGCAATTCAAAGAAAAATACTTTCTTGCTAACAATGAGAAAAAAAATGCTGTGTGATTTTTACTGTGTGAGAAACACGCAGAACTGCAGCACAGAAATTAGGCTGAGAGAACTCAGAAGTGTTTGTTAACAATCTGTACAAGTCAGTATGGGCCAAATCTCATATTCCTGATTCAGTCCTTTCTCAGACATAACACCAAGTGGGAGTTGATGAATAACAACTGAACAAAAAAAGAAAATGGAGTAATAAGAAGGGAACTTGGCCCTAAGCACAAAGCTAGGCTAAACTGCAGATCTCCTACACAATGCTACATTTTTTCCAAACTTCAAGCATAAATAATTGTGGTCAAAAGTAAATTAACTCTAGCAGCCTGCAAATATCTAAATAAATAGTGAGATGTTAAACTCAGGCTTCTGGGTGCTTTGCAAGTAAGTGCATACCAGGATGGATCAGAGAAGGAGAAGCTTCCCCACACACTTACAGCGTCATCCAACAGTTTCCCTGTGCTCTTTTTCCCAGGAGACTTTGTTGGTGAGGGTGAAGGAGATGGAAGGGGGGCTGAAAGTGTTTCCTCTTGTTCAATCTCTTTTTCCAACTTTATTAATCCAGGAGGCTCCACCCCAAACCTTTTGAAAACATGCAAACAAATTACTAGTCCTTATAAAGTATTTCATATTTTAACACAAAATGGTGGATATAATTTATGCTTTCTATATTGCACTACTATGCAATAAAAAATTCCTAAGTACATTAACAAAGGAGTACAAAGTAGATCAGTTGTTGATGCCATCATTCTAAATTAATACAAAGAATGAAACTAAATGGCATCTCTCAGTCAACCAAGTTTGCACCAAATATAGTTTTTACTCAGCTTCTCTGTCTGTATCACAACCTATATATTGGTGAATAACTTACGAACAACAAAAGCCTCAAAAATTGCTATACCATGTAGATGTGATTCACGTTCAGCACATTAGCATTTTTATTTTTGAATATCCTTTCAAATTATTTGACGTCTTATACCTTCTGCTCACAGTTTTCAAAGAAACCCATATGAAAAGGGGTTAAAGACCCAAGATTATCCTGGGCACAGGTATTGCACACAATTTACAGATAAATTGAGACGTTTAAGGCCAATATTTTTCAGGAGTGGCTAATGTTTTTTTAAACCTTATATTTGACTGCCAGTCTTCAGATCTCTGTTTACAGTGGCAAAATACTTGTAGCTCCAACTAAAACAAATGCATGCAATTTTGGCATGGAGTGTCTCAAACACAGCACTTAAGAGTGAGGTTCTTAAAAACAGTGCCTGCTTTTGAAAGCTTTATGGCAAATGCTTAAGTCAGTATCTCAGCAAGAAGCAGAGCTTGGAAAGATGTCAGGAGCCCAAAGGCCCATCCTATTTTCCTAATCACTGATAATTCCCTTCTGTTTCTTTCTTCGCCAACACTGAACAAAAACAGAAAAATCAAGAGATCTCCTTTCCCAGACAAAGGCTTCAGCTTCAAAAAGTTATCATTCTACATATACTTTTCATAGCAAACTACTTGTATAAATGAAACTATTTTCTTCTGTAGTAGGAAAGTCTATAGGGCAGATGCAGAACTATGCTGGCTTATCCTAGCTCAAGAGTTGGACACTAAAATATTGAGCAGTACTTAAAAAATTATGAAAACTTAAGCTAAATATCATAATAATGTTAAAATCATAAAGAGAAAGGGCATAAGTGTATATACTGCCTCTAGTATTTTTACAATAAATTTTAATTTAGTCACGCTAGTGCCCAGTAAATTAATATAAAGAAAACTAAGAACCAAATCTGTGCTTGTATTGGCTTCTAACTGGTGCAGTCTGCCTAATGAAAAGTCAGCCAACATTGAAGCAAGCACTTATATACAATCCATTTACTTCCTGTCTGTCTGCAGATGCCGACAGGCTGTAAATCATTAAATTCCCACTGGGCTCTAAGCCTACACCTGCATTCAGCCTTACTCATCAAATAAACCTCTTCTACTCTAAGCAATGCTGCTTCTTTGCTTCTGCTGCTTTTCATAATCTCCAGTTTTTATCATTGTGACAGACTATTAACGTTCTCTGTAATTTCAATATTCTAAATTTCTTGTGCTGAGGAACTGAATAAAATAAACAATACTGCATCAACCTGAAGCAAAGTCACTGGAAAGCTGAAATGGTAGAAACAAATCTCTGAGAGGGGTTTGTCATGCAATAAGGGTACAAATTCTGTTCTGGAAGGTATGCTGAGAATTTCCTTTGTTGCTCTTTTCTAGCCTGCCTTCCCATAACTACAAATGAAACAGCATCAGACTGTAACATGATCTCCAGTAGACTTCCAAGAGCACCACTTTCCAATTTTTCCCGAGGAAAAATTGAATACAATAACAGAAGGATCTTGAAATTGCTCAGACTAATTTTGTACAAAAATCATCTGGTGGTTGTTTAGCCTCCTAAAGTTTAATACCTACGTGAGAACTTCATTCCTTCTGCAGAAAGGGTAACTTAAGCTGTTGTCCATCATAAATCACACTCCCTATACATACACAGACAGCACATACCCATCTACTAGCAAATAATTAACTTTTCCATCAAGTGCTGATTATGAAGATTACACAGAGAAGTGACTGATTTGGCGCTTGCATCACTTCAGTGGAAATGATTCACTCAAACTTTAAAATACTGTGCAAGAATGCGGGACATGTGCAACGCACTACTGTAGTGCTGTATATTGCCAATGCACAATTTTATCCCATAAGAGTCTTCCTTCCTCCTCTCATAAACGTTCTCATTCTACCCACATGAAATCTACCGGAGCGCACAATGCCCCATGTTATGTATTCAAAGTTCATAAGATGATTTCAGAATTTTGTGTTCATAAACAACCAAAATCCAGCAGAGTTTATCAGGCTACTCTATTTTGATTAGCACCTATGTCTTTCAGGATCACAGAACAATTTAGGTTGGAAGGGACCTCTGGAAATCAGCTGTTCCAAACCCAAGCCAAAGGCAGGGCCAAAGTTAGAACAAGTTGTGCAAGGCCTTGTCCAGGTGAGTTCTGAACAGCTCCAAGGCTGAAAGTTCCACAGCCTCACTGGGAAAGCTGTTCCGATACTTCTCCATTCTCACTGTGAACTTTTTTTCCTTATGTGTAGTCAGAATTTCCCTTGCCGCCGTTTTTGAATGCTGCCTCTCATTCTTTCAGTGGGTGCTTCTTAAACAGTCTGGAACCCCCCACTGGGTAGAGGAAAACAGCAACTTTATCTCCTTCTTCTACAGCCTTCTATCCTCCTTCTTTGCTCCTACTAATGCAGTCCAATCTTACTAATGCAGGTCAGCCTCCACTGCAACAAGGGCACCCTGCCACTCACATTCTACTTATTGTCCACTTCCGAGTGGCCTCTCAGATCCTTTCCTGCAAGGCTGCTGCTGAGACAGTCAGGACCTAACCTGCACTGTTGCACAAGGGCATTCCAACCTCGGTGCACAATTTTGTATTTAAGTTTCACAAGGCTTTTGTCAGCTTATTTTTTTCAAGTTATCATTGCCCTTCTGGATGACAGTCCTACCCTGTAGCACCCTGCAGATTATTCTGCCCAAAGCTTCCTGTCGTCTATGAAATTGCTGAAGGTGCACTCCATCCCATTATCTAGATCATAAATAAAAACACTGAGCAATAACTGACCACTGTATAACTCTTGTGGTAAGTGCCACTAGTAAGTGCCAGCTGTCAGTTGAGTTTTGAACAGCTACTCTTTGAGCCAAGCGGTCACACCAGTTTACCATGCACCATGTAGTCCACCCAGCAAGTCTATATCTCTCTAATTTGGCTGAGAGGATTCAATGGGAGATGACATCAAAAACATTGCTAAAGTCAAATAATAGTTGTCTTCCTTCATCCACATGGCTAGCTGGTTCATCATATAAGGCAACCAGGTTAGTCAGACACAGCCTGACCTTTGAATATCTGTGCTGACTGCTAAGGGACTGGAAATAGCTTCTAGAAGAACGTGGTCTATTGGATTGGTCCCAGGGACTGAGGTGAGGTGGAATAGCCCATGGTTTTCTGGATCCTCCTTCTTACTCTTCAAGAATGGCATGACATCTGCATTTTTCCAGTCAACGGGAACCTCAACAAATTGCAATGGCTTTTTAAAGATGGGTGGCTTCGCAGTGATATCAGCCAGCTTCCTCAGTACCCTCAAATATACCCCATCTCATCCCATTAACCTGTGTATGTCCAGTTTGCTTAAGTGGTCCCTTGTTGACCCCAAGCTAAAAATAAAAAACATATTAATATATTTTATATATTACAACATATGTGTATTTATAAAGAATATATGTATATTATATATGCAAATAAAATTGTTATTTGTAAAGGCAAAAGGGATAGATGTGCTTAATAAAGGGAAGTATAATATCCTTCAAGATTTGTTTCCATGCCTTGAACACGGCGAGTATCTGAGACACGGAAGCTTAAGACAAAAGACAAATATAACAGGCAAGATTCTATATTAATTCCCTTGTATACCTAACGAGAAATCAGGAAAAAAACGCTAGTGGATTAAATGCATACTTTTATGGAAGTACATCTAACTCAATCAACTTTAGCAGGATCCGACACTGCCTAACCACTGAAGCGTGCTCCCTGAGGAAGTTGGATACTGCCAAGTTCTCAGACCAAGGACAGACATGCTGAAGAGCCACACCTGTAGGGGCTAGCGCCTTTGGAAACTGGAAGCTCTACCTCCAGCCTGGGTGTCTTGGGACCCCAATACATCTGCATAGGTAAGGTAACGCTCCTGAAGATGACTTTCAGCGAGTGCCTACAGGATCAGAAGACTTTCTTGTTCATGGAAAATTAAATTTAAAAAAATCATTTTTGGTCCATGTTGGACTAAATCCAGATTTTAGAGAAAAAAAAAAGAAAATTCCCTACAAACTGAAAATATTTTTTCTCCTCCCATCCCTTCTTTGCCAATTTCATTCTCATACAAACTTCCACTGAAAACAAAGGAGTTTTTAGAAACTCTAAGAGAGAAATTTACTTAAGTAGCTTCTCAAGTGAGTTGTACCTAAAAATATCAATACTTATAATGCAATCCTAATACGAAAATATTAGACCTCTATTTGTTTCTATTTTGATTTCTTTCACCTTTATTGTAACCAGAAGGAATTCTACTGAAATTAATGAGACTACTAGAACAGAAAGGCACTCCAGTTCAACACTCAGGGATGCATACAACTGCAGTTTATATGCAGGACTGGGGAGCAGCACTGTTGTTCATACATTTTGTGACAAATCTGATCGACGGCACCGGTATATCTGTTTTTGCAAAAAGGGGTATCACATTCTAATTACCATCATTTGGGCTATCTAGCAAGAGTCACAGTTATCTTGACAGTGAAGATAACTATACAACTTACTGAGGGTCCAGCCTGGTTAGAAACCGCTGACAGGCAGCCCTGGTGAAAATCAGGCTATGTCCACTTAAATCAATGAGATAAGAGTCAGTGTTACTTGTCAGATTTAGGTCATCTGAAGATCACCTTATTATCAGTTAAGTTAATGAAGTCTCTGTTGTTTATAGACACATAAGATTGTTAGAAGGAGAAAGCTCAAAGATTTGGAAAACAAATCCCTCTTTCCTTCTAATATGAAGATAGCCAACAAATACTGTCACTGTGCTAATACAGATTTCCTTATATTGCTTAAACAACTGCCCACAACATGTTTTTGAGTAACATCTAGACAAACGTTTTCCTTGAACTTCATTGGTGTAAAATTTAGCTTGAGATGCACTGATTTAGTAAGTCTCTCAACTGTCACTGCTGTAAAAAATAAATATTTAACACTTTAAATATTTTCACCTACCTTGCTGCAATCCTTCCAAGTTCCAGTAAACAAAGGCACACTTCTCTTGGCTGCTTGTGGAGAACTGGAAAAGAAAAATAAAGATGGAAAATATTTACAGTGAAAGTTATTTTAGAGATCTTAGTGATAAACAGAACTTAATCACCAGCATCTAAACTCTTGACCCAGCTAAAGCTTGGTTTCTTTTTCCTTCTGTGGAGTTTTACCTGAATAAAAAGGATGGGATTAAAGATCAAGGTAAGGTCTCAGAGTACAAATGATTCAGTAAATTCCTACTCAATTATCCTTTAGTTCCTCTGAAAATAATTCTTCAGTGATTTAGGCTTATATTTGGGCTATTTCATAACCTGCAAGCAGTTCATAACTACTTAAAAATAAATCAAGAGCTCTGACACAACACTAGTAGAATATCAAGAATAAATTAATGACATGAAAATAATGCTTTTCTTTCTACAAAGTAAGAGTATTCTTAACCTTCAGATCACTCCTATCTACTTAAATCAGAAAATTATCAAAATCGCATTATGAAGATATCTCTTACTATAAATTTGGTCCTAAATTCTTTATACATCTATTCTTAAAAGAAAAATCAAATTTAGGACACTTTAGGAACTCAGCTCATCATAAAGAAATTACTTTTTTCTGTATATGTACACATATAGGCAAATTTTTATTCTTGGATTCAGCACAAGATGAGGGAAGAACTCCTTCAGTTTTTTAGCTTCATAAGAAGCTGCGCACCCAGCATGAATTTCTCTTTCAGAAACACCAACATAATCCATAATCAATTCTTTTTTCAAAATTCAGATAAGCAATGTTTTGTAGAGAAGTCCAATAAAATATATAACAAAACCCAAAATCAACATATGAGGAAAGGTCAGTGGCTGTTTAGATAGGCAACTCCCCCTCCAAAGTGAAAAAAATAAAAAGAATTATGGGTACATTGCCACCTTCTCTCCAGAATACCTCTTGCAGAAAAACCCTCATGTTTTGGATAAAATTCAGGCTCTGAAAGTCTCCACAATACTGAAAGATTTGTGCCTTATACTTTCAAATTGAATTGACCCCTGAAAAATAAATGTGTCAATATTTGTGTAAATCTTAAAAAAAAAAAAAAAAAAAAAGATGGAAACGGAAGCAAAATTAGCTTGTTCTTAATGAATTCAAAGTTGAGACATTTGTTGTATAAACACTCTGGTTACTTAAAGACTCACCTAACTCAAACAAATGAAGAAAAATATCATACCTGAAAAAGATATTTCAATGACTAGTTAAAGCTCTGAAAGCCATTGCTTTGTCCTATATTGTATTCCAGAGTTAAGCATCTCAAAGTAAGTAATGTGTAGTAGGGCAGATCTTCAGCTTCTGTAACTTCAGCTTCTTATAGTTCCACTGACTTGAACAGATCTATAAGTTACATAAGCTGAATCCTCACCCCACTGTCTTTTACTACTGTGTATGTAGCGCTTTGAGACATATGCATTCTCCCCCTCTAATCCCATCCAAATATATTTCAAGAAGTAAAACTGCAGAGCATAAAAAATAAGATGGCAAGGCACTAGGAAAAGTATTTTCATCCTACAGCTATCTTATTAGGAACAAAAGAGATGCAGATCTGGAGATTCAGTTTTTCCCAGTATTCTTTCTTGCCACAAAACAGCATTTTTATGAAATATTTAACTAGCAATCAGTATTTTTTAAGTGTTAGGTTCACGATCCATGAAATATACTCTTCTGCTTTGGTTTCAGAACAGTTGGGACTATACCAAAATAAAAATCGATAGCAAGAAATAGATATCGCCCAAAATATAAACAACATATAACAATTTTAAGATCGTCAAAATATTTCTGAGTTCCAGTTCACATGTATACCCATTTGAAGAACTTTTGGAGGGGAGGGGAAAGAGAGGCTCAAGCAATGATGTTTTCAAAAGGATCCATACGTAGAACCAAAAGATTTGACCACGAAATGCTGAAGCTGTCAATGCTGAAGTTCTTCTACCCAAGCAAAATCCAAAGTCCTTTACTGAATCTGACTCAGCATACTCTAGACACACTCCATGCACTTCTCGATGAAGAATGTGAAAGAGTGAAATCATTGTTAGAGGATGAGAAGCTGTGCAGGCAATAACCAATCATGAAAACAAACACCTGGTCAGGTGATAACAACACAGGGACACAGTGCTAACAGGAAAATGCTAGCCTTCCTGAGGACTATACCAGCATGCGTGTTTGGGAACTTTAGGGAAAAACAAGTATTTCGAAGAGTGCAACCCCCACCGGAAATAATTTAGATTCTCAAAGAGATTTAAGAGTTTGGGTTTTTTTTATTTTGTTTTTTTGGTTTGGGGGGGTTTTGTTTTGTTTTGTTTTTTGAGCACAGCTGTTTCAATGGCTACCAGCTAACGAGAGCATGTTTAGGAATTAAAGCAAAAGCTGTGGAGACAGACACAAGGCTACATTTCCATCCCTATCTTGGTCTCAAACTTTCAGTATAACCTTGAGTGAGCAAATAAGATCATAGCCTTTTGAACATGTATGCTTTCAAATGCCTTGATTTCTGAGAGCTCATTTTGAGATATTTGATGTCTTGAGCTAGTCCACAGTAAGTGAAAGAACCTGATATTAAGTCACTTTCAAAAAGCTACCTCCCATTCTGTAGGTGACAAAAGTGTAAAGTTTGGAAGAGCAACATCTCTTCCTCTTCCTTTTTTAATTTCACACAAAGAAGCTGTACTTTCATTGATATTTTTAAAGCACTTGGAGAAATCTCATAGAAGAGGTGGCAAAAGTAATTTCAGAGACACTGCAGTGTGCAATTCACTTACTTAGTTATTTGCCATAAATATAGAACTGAAAAAGAAAATTTGTGGCAGTCCTCAATTCTAGTTTAAATTCTCACTTCCTGGCTGTGCTGCAGTTCATTGATAACTGCCTGCTCACATACATGTACACTCAGTTTTATAAACATAATTGTACACATACGTACAATTCCACTGTACACGGTAACAACTAATAGTATTTGCTAATTAGAGAAAATTCATTCCGAAAGGAATGATTATAGGCTCAGGTTGAAATTTAACACCTGTACCTATGGCATTCTATTGCTTCCTGTGGGAGCTGCATCCATCATTTTCTGAATTACTTACTACAGTCTATATACCTATTATTGAAAAGAAAATACGACCACCTCCACTTTTTGACCTGGCAAGTCACTCCATCCCAAGTGCATTAAAAGGCACATACATATACGTTTGCTAAGCAACACACTTTCTGCAATTGTAGCAACTTACATGCAGTTTGACAAGGCAAGTACTGGAAGCAGAAAAATAAAATTTGAGGAAACATTCACTTCTAATACAGCTTCACTTATGTGGAATCATTTTGTCTTTAGTTAGAGACAAACGATCATTTCTCATCAGTTATTCATTCAGTGTATTTTACAGAAGTTTACCTACCACTTAGAAAATGGAAGTGTCATGTTTTTAGATAGCTTTTTTTTTTTTTTTTTTTAAATAACACTTGAATTCCTCCAGTAATTTGTCTATACAATCAAGTAAACATTTCCTGGGGGATTCTAATTAACATATGTGAGATACTTCAATTTTTAAAAACATCCTTTCTGGTCGTCAGTCACTTCTTCCTCACTTCATACATTGAAACTGCTTCTAACAGTAACATGCTGCTCTTAGATACTTTCATGTGACTTTCAAGCAGACTATATTAATTAACCACTACACACACTTGCAAAAAGAAAGCCAAGTAAAACATTCAGGGAAAGGGACAGGGACCTTTGTGCACTTACATTGTAACATACGGGACTAGAACCTCATTCCCTACTCCACATAGGTAAGGCTTATTTGACAGGTAGTTAATCATCAGGTTTTTAGAAATCCTCTTCATTCTGTGTATGGCCACATACATCATTCACCGCACACTGGTTTAGGTCTACACTGAGCACAGCATGAGTCGTTTCCACAAGAGTGCCACTGTAAGTTGTGAAGCACTCACAGAGACAGAAAACACGAAATTTATCTAACACTCCTATGAGGCAAGTTGTATTATCATCTTCATCTTACACACATGGAGTTAAGCAATAGATATTAGACACAAAAATACCCAGTAATCTATGTGCTATTTTGAAATATATACTTCCTGACCTTCAAAATACTTTGTTGAGTTTCCTACTGCTCACTTTATATGAAAGTAAAGTCTACACAACTAGTGATCCCATCATGAAATCTGATGCAGATCCTCCTGCAGCACATGGGAGCTATACAATAGAGCCATGGATAAAACTAGTTCTCCAATGCCATTCAACAGTAACGTCAAAATACAATCCTTCAACATCTTGCATCGTTCCCAAACATACAAGCATCCACGACTTCTCCTTTCCTATATTTCATTTCTTTCCTACCTGCAGCTCATCTCATTTCTGCACTTGTTTCATGTCTCCCTTCCTCAGTGCTTGTATGATACCAAGACAAGCACAGAGTGTGCAGGAGGAAGAGCCCCTGCTGTGAGTTATGGCCAGCCCTTGGGCGTGAAGAGACAGAGAAGGCACCTACACACGGAGTCTCGGAGAGCCATCACAAGCTGCAATGGCACCTATGCTGAACACATACAAACTAAGATTTTCCAGAGAAAGAAACTTGGGGGGGGGGTTGGTTGTTTGTTTAAAATTTCAGAATAGCAAAATGCACATCCATGATAGAGGAACACCACTCTTACCTCCCTGTCAAGTTTCAAGCCTTTTTCTCCTAACAATTTATAAACCATTGTTACTAGAATCAGTTATGCTACTCTTAACATAAAAATATGCTTGTTTGTTTTAATCTCAGGCCTAGCTGAATCAAAAAAATGAGTAAGATTTCGGCTTCTAAAGCATTCTTTAGTTCACTGGAAGAGAAGAGATTTTCAGGAGTTTGCTACCTACTATACTAGACTTCCAATTACCATCATAATTCATCCAGGTTTAGGAAAGTTTTTTCAAAAAATGATCTTTCTTCCTATCACCTTTCATTTTGTTCTTTAATACTTTCCTCCTATCCTACAGGAGTCATGTTTTCCAATGTTTTTACAGCAGTTATTCTGCTCAGCTTACCCCAAACCTATCCTTGCTTCTGCATCAAAAGAGTTACAGTATGACGTAACTAAATCAAGAGATTATGTTTGTCTCCTCCCCAGACCATAGTCAACATTGTCTGTAACAGAAGTCTCAAATTAGGTAACTTTTCATATACAGTAGATACATTAATAGTAGAGAATTAATCTAGAATGAATCTACAGATCATCTAAACATTAAGAATTTACTGGAATTCAGTAATTTAAGATGCTAATCCAGTCATAATAACAGTGTCCAGGATGCTTCTATAGTCCTCAAAGCAACACAACATACTCAACGGCACTGGATTGTTTAGTAAAATGCTGTGAAAGACAGGACAAAGCCTTATTCTGATGCAACCAGACATAAAATTTAACACCCTATTATAAGCTGTAAATGTTTCACTGAGGGGTAAAGAACGTACTTCCTTCTTGTAATACGAATTTAAAATACCCAGAGCATTAATACAAAACATTTTGTCACTAAACATGAAACACAAGCAATCAGCATTTGAGGTTTTCTTCTGAGGTTTTTTTTTGTTTTTCTTTTCAATGTGAAAACATAGCATTAGAATGGAGAGCAGAAGTGTTTGCATTTGAGTCTATTATTCACCCTAAAATACTAAATGCCTTGGTTTAGGCAACCTGCTCCGTTAAACTCTGATCAATGAAGTTGCATCAAAAGAAGTCCATGTCACACAGTGTACACACATACACACAGTTACAGAATATACAAGCACAAAAGATGAATACAATATCTAACACTCCTAAAACAAGTGACACACATTAGCATGCTGGCACACTTGGTGGCAAACCCTTTTCTTGTCGGATGGATTCTTTGTCACAGACGAGACGCAGAATATTCATTGGTTCCAGATCCTATAATTATCCAAAAACACTACGTTACCAACAAAGAGTTCATAACTTTAATTAAGTTCACCTAGCTAAGGCAATCATAGAAAATCTTACCATTCCTACTATTTGGCCAAGAAGAGCTTTCTCCAAGTATTATACTCTTCAGGCTTGAGCCTCATAGCTATAAAAATCTCCATCAAAAGTGCTTCCATAAACTGAATTACCATTCACCAGCTGTGTGGATCTGCTGCCCTGAAACCTACAAAGGGGAACTTGCAAAACATACAGAATACATGGAAATAGAGGAGTTACAAACAGTATGACATTTCTTAGACTGCAGATGATTAACACATCAGGTTCCAAGTCCTCGATATGGGGCAAATCATGACCTCTGATATATCCAAGAACCCCACTCAAAGACTGTACTCCTCAAGATTTGCCCAGAAGATGAAAATTTGGGCTTCAGATCACAGTTACTGGACAAAGGTAATTCACTAAAAGTGATGATTATGAAAAACATACTAAATTGGTGAACAAGCACAGAGCACATACAAAAAGCCACTGTCTATCGGGAGGATGTACTAGAGCTTTTCAGCATTCCCTATATATTGTGTTGCCATAGTTATAAAATAAATGCTCACGATTTTTTGTGGCTTATACAACAGGCACACTATCTGCCTTTTCTTTTCAGATACATTAACTCTTGAGACTTTCCTGTCATACCTCTGCATTAAGATAAGAGCAAAGGACACTACAGGAATTTTTTTTTTTTTTAAACTACATTAAATCATCACAATATTCGGTAAGACAAAATATGTCATATTGTGCATCATTAACTTAACATGTAACATTGTAAAAAAATGATACAAATATAGAAATAAAGGAGCAGGATATATTTTAGAATCTGGTTTTGAAGTAAAATTATTTTCCTGGCAGGAAATATTCCTTTTTATTTTAGGAGATTTTACAAAAGTATTGGTTTCTATTAGAAGCTTATCCCAAACAGATTTTGAAATCAAAACTGCAACATCAACCCATTTTTTCTGATTTTCCTCTGAAGCAAATCACCATCTAAAAACAAAAACAACAACAAAGCTAACAAAGATTGCTGTGTACTAAATCAGCATACCCCCACAAAACGCAAAATACTGCCAATTTATTCTTATCAGAATAAAACATTATTTTCTAGTAACTTCTCAAGTCTATGGTGTTGCTGCTCAGATGGAAGTGAAATCTGGATTAAATCTAGTTGATTATTTTCAAACTTTTGATTTTTTTCTTAAAAACAAAGCTCTTTCAAAGATCTTTAAAGGAATTCTTCTAATTAAAGATGTTTCAAGGTATAATCATATTTAGCAACATAACAAATATCATGATTTTTCATCTTCTATTTATTTTGAAGAAAGACTTTGATCCTGTCTTCTTGTTCAGCCCTAATCTAACAAAATATTTAAACTTGTGCTTAGCTTTAAGCATTTCAGTAGTCCCACTTTCTCCTTAAAACACACAAGATACCTGAAGAAGAGAGGAAGCAGTAGTAATTCATTTTCATTTCTACTTTGGAAAAAAAATCCTGAAATGTTTTCTTTAGTCCAATATGATCATCACTATATATTTTTGCTAATTAGAAAAATAGAGATGCTATGCACACACTTCCAATTAATAAATCAGTCCACAACACACACGGACTCAGGAACTGACAGGAGTAGGCCTACTCACCTGCTTGTTTGGATCAACCTTAGAGTCATCAACACTTGGCAGAAAAGAGCCTCTAAGAACATACAAAATTCCATTTAACAGCAAGAGTCTGCAGGCTTTTCAGATATGGACTACACCTGTCTGATTTAGTGCCCATTTGATACACTCCCATTCCACTGAGGAATAGCTCCATATAACTTCAGTCTAAATGCTAAAAAAAAAAAAATCAGGAGTGTTGGATGCCTTGCTGTGCAGTTATACTTGCATGATTTTGAAGACTTCACACTTCATCAGGAAGAGCACGTATTTTTTTTTAAAAGTAATTAGAAATAATAGTAATTAATAATTTCTTAGATAGCATATGTTTAATTTTACTACTCTGACTAGACTTGGAACTTTTTATCAGTAATTTGTCATAAATACATTTTTCAAATGTTTCAGTGCAATAAAACTTCTCAGTAAAATTTCTCTCAATATTACAGTAGAATTTTGCCAGAAAAAGAGACCTCAGGAATACTTTAGGCAATACAATGGCATGAAGAAAACATCCCTATGTGCATCTAATTAAACAATAAAGTATTTACGTATGATAAGGTAGGTAGAACAGAGTATACAGAAGAACAACAAAAATTAGGTAAATTCAGAACATTAACACAGTGAGGTTCCTCAATAAGTAGAGAAAATATTTGCTTTATCACTGTCTCCTACTCCCTTCTTGTGTTTGTAGCTTTCCTTGTCCTAGGTAATGCTGCAGTTCTCCATCATTTCATATCTGTGGAAATGTGATCCTTCTCTGTCTTCTATATGATTTACCATGCACTAGAATAATTTCATCCTGAGGATTCAATTAACAGAATAGAGACCATACATACATCCTCAATACTGTTTGTCAGTTTTGTGATTCTAAGCTCTTCTCTGTCAAGTATTTTCTCCTGGAGAAATAAAATGACTTCATTTAATAAAAAAATAAAAATAAATTAATAAAAAACACACACTCAAAGGATAAAGTAACAGACAGGTGAAAAATACTGCTTCACAAATAACAGTGCAAACAGTGCAAGACTGTAAAAGAAGAGAATAGATCAGCTGCAACACAGAAAACTTCAGCTGAACAGTAAAAGACCTTTTGAGTAACAGAACAAAGAAGCATCTTGATACAGTACAGTGTGTTCATTTATCCTCCATGCAAACTGAATTGTCTATCATCACAACACTTTCATCTGAGTTCAGATAACAAATGGACAATTGATTCTCTTCATTTCGTGATATTCAACTGAAATACAATCTTGCGGTAAGGAAGAGTCCTAAATTTTCCTTTGAAAGGAGAAGAGTAAAAATCATGAAGTATACGCGCTATTAGAAAGATGTTTTCCTAAATAGTCCAATTCTTTTGACAGAGCATCCTAAAGCATGAACATTGGATAATTATCCCGAGCTGCACATGGGAATCAGTTAGAAAAAAAAAGGTCAGTGTAGGATGCAGAGAAAAGTTTCATATATACTCCTTTCCCAAGCAACCCAGTTAATCTGTACTGATAACTAAATGTCTACAGTCAACACTGAGTACCCAATTGTATCCTACTCTCCTGAAACAAGAGAGGATTGCCTTATTCGCTGTACTAAGGAGCAGCATTCCATGGAATTTTGCTGATCAAAAAGCGCACACAGGATGAAAAATCTTCTGGTGTGCAAGGGAACATTGCAAGATTTTTGTCCTGTTTAAATTCCTCATAAATTTGTCTTAAATGAATTTTCAAAATGTTTACTTAACCTGTTCACGTTTCAGATAAAGGTCAAAATTGACAGAGTCAAATAAAGGTCAAATGTGGAGTCAGGATCTATTAAAGGAGCCATTCTCTCCTTCAAGGAGAGAATACAAATACAAACAGATAATTATTTATAATGCCAACTGCTACACAAACAAATACATACCCAAACCTTCCGATTCAAACAGGCAGGTATCATCCACTCCTACATCTCTGCACCAGGATAAGAAATTTGCTGTGTTGTCTCGTGCAAAAAAAGACCCTGAAGGTGCATTGGCTTTGCATGGAATCTTCCGCACTGGTAAGGTCTGAAAAACAAAAGCTCTCTACTTACATACCTGCTAGCATAACATTTATGTACAAGTATTATGAAATCAGTACACAGGTTCTGTGCAGAGGGATGAATACAGAGCCATCGACGTATTTCTTTTTTATGAAAGAATTCCAAACAAAGAAGAATGAAAAGAGAAGTCAATGGCACAAAGCGGTTAACCACAAGTTTAGATCTGAGTCAGTATTAGCAGCTTTCTTCCAGATTTGGGAATTGGTGTTTGCTATATATATGCATATATATATATATATATGTATGTATGTATTATATATACATGTGTGTGTGTATAAATAAAATGAAGAATGACTTCAGACTAGGAACTGAATTTTCCTAAAATTACCGATAACTTGAAGTCTAGTTTCAGAGCTACATTAAGAGGGAATCACACAGTTTTGAACCTTTTCCTCTAGTTTCGTAATGGGTGTCAAGCTACATGGGTCAGAATCTTAACATTTTAGAAATGCCACCGTCTCCAGTCTAACAGCACCCCAAGTCCCCTAAGGAAAACACAGAAATGTAATCCAGTAGATACAAGAGCAAGGTCTATCACAGAGCCAGATTGCCATCTCAGTTGTACCAGATTAGTTCTATTTACATAACTTTGATATCAGAGGAGCTGCTACTGATGTAACACATCTTAGAATCTGACCCAAACAGAATAATTGCCACAGCAAAATTTTTGCTTGTGTTTTGCTTGTACATTTTCTAATCTGTGGTACAGACACATACAAAGAACACTCTAGGATTCAGTTCTCATTTGAGGTTTGTTTTCCTCACATGAAAAAATAGCTGTCATCTGCAACAAAAAGGCAGAATGAAACATTGTTACTCCATAACTTCAAAAATCTCCACACTGTGGAGGAATTCAGATCCCACGTTGATTTTGAGCATGCTGCTTTTCTATCATGCTGATTTATGAAATGTTTGTTTCTGCTCTGGAGTCCGTAGTTAGTCAATAGCAAGTGACCCAAGAGGCAGAAAACCGAAAATTCTGTCTCTGTTCGGTCTTAGATTATGTCCAAAATTCACTTTTAGCAGTTCAAAAGTCTTGGAAATACAGGGAGGGGAGAAAAGAGAAAGTAAGCTTCCCCTTACTGCAGCTTCTGGTAGCATACTAATTTCAGTATTCAGACTGTTCAGGAAGATTTATGGTTTTATATTAGAGATAAGTAAGCAGCAATATAATTGCAAAATACATATATGCACACAAAATTCATGATCTCTATATGCCTGATAAATCAAAAAAACCTGCAAATACAGTAGCTACAGGGATAAACAGCCTTCTGTTTATTTTATCAATATGTTTACGGAAGCTTGTAATTTACCCTATACAACAAATACTTAGACATATTCCTTAGATCTTCATCTAGCTCTCATTTCTCCAAGATTCTTCCTCCAAATGCACTTTGTTTTCCCATTTTATTCCCTTATTTTGCAAAAATAATGCATATTGTTCAAAATATTTACCAGAAGAGATTAATATTTCTCTATACTGTATTATGAGAAAAGATTGACCATTTATATATATTTTAAAGAAAATGAAAGTTAACCCTAAGTCACAGATATCACATCACCTCCTAGACAATCCAACTAGGGAAGGGAAGAAGGAAGGAAGAGAAAGTGGAGGAGGAAAGACGGCACTATTCACTACACCCAAAATAAGTTAAAAAATAAAAATAAAAAAGGAAACCTAAATTCTTACAGGAGGATCTAGATGCAGAAAAACCATACAGGTCGGAGCACATGAAAGTTGTTAACCATTATTTTAAACCCCTCTCCATCCTTTTATAAGTGTCTTTTTTTGAATTAACAGTGATGTCTTCTCCTTTGGATTTAGGTCCCCAAACTCCTAAGAGTTCAGTTGTAGATTACAAAAACTGTAAAATGGCTCAGTTCCTCATAGACCAGAGCTTTTTTACTCTATTGGCACTAGACATATTTCTAGAGTAACATCCTTTTCATATCATACCAAGTTCTTCAAAGACAATAAGTATCTGCATCCTGAGGCGAATTCACACAATACAGTAGTGCTTCACACTTTCAACCTTCCCTTGTGACTTACAACCTTTAGAAAGAAGCAATGAAGCACTGGTCCATCTTTGCTCCCTCCTACATCTTTTATCAGGAGGATTTAATTGGACTGTGGAGAAAGCTAATAAGCTTCTTGAAAGAATATCCACTTCTGTTAAGAGGAGTTGCTCAAAGTTCTGTGGTAGCCTACCTGAGTGAAGTCAGCTAGTACAGTCTGCATTCAGAGAAAAGCTGTCAAAACAAGCATTTTGTTTCATGATTTTCTTCTAAAATCTTACACAAAATGCTTTATGAAAAGTATCTTCAAAACAATTTCCACAATGATGTACAGAGAGCCTAACCTGACCTTATTTCCTCCAGTGTAGAACAGCAATATCTAGCATCATCAGAGATGTTAAACTGGCTATCATCAGCATTAGCAAAATTAGGAACTGTCAGAGAGCAACAAGAGCAGGGCTGCTCCAAAAGGGAAAATGAGCCGGGAGCCAAGGACGACCACAGCACAGGCAGGGGCAGTGCCTTCACCCACTAAGACACAGTCCCACAGTACTCATGCACTGGTGATGGTAACAGGCTCTGGCAACTGTCCCGCGATCATCACAAAAGGTGCAGTGATGAGCCTGGTCCAGGTCCATCCAGAAAGCCCAGTCAGGAAGAGCAGGAGACGAGGCTCAACATGGGTTGAGGCTGCAGCCACAAAGCTCAGCCAGCAAGTCAGGACAGCAGGAAACAGGGCCAGAGACAGGGCCACTTATGATTCAGCTCAGACAAGAAACAGGGCTGAAGTTAAATGAAGCTCCCAGGAAACGGGCAGAAGGTGTGGGTGGGGGTCCCAGGTGAGGCTGGTCAGGACTATTAATGCCTTTTGGTGCCTTCAGATCCTGACAGCAACTATTCTGTACATAATTTGAGAAGAATTAGTCCCTTCAGAAATATATTGCTAGTTTACATTAACATTTAACTAGTCAGTAGATCCAGAGAGGTGCCATTTGATAGTACTGAATCTTAAACTCACTACAAAAAACATATGCTGTATGTACAACATACTTGATTATATTCTTACAGAACCAAATTACCAGCAGCTATGAATTGGTTTAACTCCATCAAAGTCAAAAGCAACGAAGTTCTTTGGATCCCCTGTACCTCTGGACTGACTATGTTATGTCAGGTGATACACGGATATTAGACCAACCGATTTAAGGGTCAATGCAAAAAGACCAAACAGATTCTGTCTGGAAAAATCTATTCTTTGTCATTTTTAAACAACTAAGTTCAATTTAAAGCACAAATTTTAGATGACCTTAAAATGCATTAGCAGCATAGTGACAGGAATAAGGTGACAGAAGTCATCTCCAGTATTCCTGCGCTTGCAGGTTTGTGCATAAGCTACCTTAGAGAGCAAGTAAAAGAGACAAAACTACAGCTACTTCTCCTTTGAAAGTATACGTGCCCTGCCAAACCAATCTAGGCTCCCAGTTCACTCCTGCATTCTCATCTCTGTATTTTCCACAGTACATAACATGTTATTTTGCTCTCAGGCTCTCCTTCAGAGTAAACAAGCTAGTCCTCTCCAAGACAAACATGTTATAACTCAAGAAAGAGCTCCCTGGGCATTATGGGTGAAACCAGGTTTGTTTCCTTACACTCAATTCTCCAACACCTGCCCAGCCAATTCCGTATCTTGAAACTACTCTGTCATGCCATGCCACACCCCATGATAAGCAACCTCTATCCTTTGATGTCATGCTAAGGATATTAACAGGTGTTCTGGAAATTTGAATTGAAAAAAAAAAACACACACACACAAAAAGAAATATTGTACTATAGAGCTGGTGGGTGCCAGCTGGAACTCCAAGGGCCCAGGTGGACACGGGCCTAGTGGGGGCATGACCAATCTGCTCCACTCCGTCCTGAGTACTCTTCTTATAAGGGCTGTTGGGAAGGCAGTGTGCCTGGCTGGAACACAGAATTTTCTGTAGTTTTTTTTTCTGTAGTTCTGTAATTTTCTGTAGCATGATTGCGCTCCAGTATTAATAACATTTGAATAAATCTAGTTCTAACTGTTTTGTATCTTCTGATTTAGGTATATGGTTATAACTGAAAATAAGTGTTTTCAAGAAAAGCAAATCAGAAGATATGGATAATGTGTCAGACGCACGTGCAGTTAGTATCAGTAAATAAATGAATGATGTTGTAGATGGTTTATCAGGATATCCATAAATTACACATCTACACCTTGACAACTGAGACAGACCTTTAAACACGTCAGTCCCCCTAACTCCATTTGCGAAACTTAGACACGGAGCTAGTAAAATTTCTTTTAGCATAATAAAGACTGCAGTGTCTTTTAGACACTACATTTTTCAGTAACATGTACTGCAAGCAAATAATAGCAGTCCAGGTAGAGAACTGTCATGCCTTTAAGTAGTCAGTCTGTAATACTCTCTAGTTTAACAGTGACACAGACAAGATGGCCGATTCACAGGTATTCTAAACAACTCAGAAGTGACAAACGTCTGAATGTAAAAATGAGACGTGCTGGACTGAAGAAGGGAAAAATGTACAATTATATTATAAAAAACTTGAAATCCTTTTATGGAACAGGTACTAGACAATTATTTGCAGCATCATATGATTTCACTAATATATGGCATCCTATATATCATCTAATTTCTCAGAATCTTAGGGTTTTGCTGAAAAGAGCAAAAAAATAACCCTCACTCAAAAAACCCAAACTCTCTTGATTCAACAGTATAATCTAGCAGATCATAGAAATCATAAGGAAATAGTCCTATTTTCTTATCACCTAATAAGTCTCCTCACTACCTTTTAAGTATAAGTCTATTTAATATTTTCAAAACGATCACTGCAATGCTCAGCCTACAACACATGAAAGCTCTTATTTAAGAAAGATTTCATGCACAAATGTTCTTTACTGATTTGTAT